AAAAGAAAAAAGAAAAAGAAAAGAAATATGGTTTCACAAATTTAAAAAAAATAAAACTTCTGAGGGCTGGGGAGATGGCTCGGTAGAATAAGCGCTTGCCTGGCAAGCACAAGGGCCTGAGTTCAATCCCAGTTTCTGCCAAACAAACAAACAAAAATAAAACTTTTAGGGGAGGTGTCACCTTGTCAAAAGCCTCTGGGCAGGGATCAAAGCCACAGTATGAATGATGCTGGACGCAGGCCAGGGTTAGGTACTCTTGGGTTTCCGTATGCCTCAGGCTCTTGGAGGACAGGGTGACCTCCACTGTAGGTGTCGGATATTTCGACATAGTCGGTTTGGTTCCTCTGCCTGGTTTCTCAACTCTTGCCCTGCAGCTTCTTGTTTCCCTCTTCTTGCCGGGCCACCTTTCTCTGCTCTACACACCCTCTGGTTGCAACACCTGGCCTGCTGTGTGAACTTTTCCTCAATCCTGTGGGCATTTTTCTGTGTCTGTCACTTTTTATTTATTTATTTATTTTTTAATGTATTTAGTACGGGGTCTCAGGGTCTCACTACACAGATCAGACTTGTAGTGACTTCAGCCTTCCAAGCGCTGGGATTACAGGGCCCAGTTCAGTCTAGTCTCAGCATGCCCCGGGGGCAGGGCCGGCAAGTGGGGATCCCTGCATCTGCCTAAGCAGGTTCTTTAATCCACCTTGCACTTGCCAGGGAAGCGCTTATTCCACAGAGCCATCTACCCGGCCCCAATCTGTCACTTTTTTTTTTTTTTTTTTTTTTTTTGGTGGAACCGGGGATTGAACTCAGACCCTTGCGCTTGCCAGGCGAGTGCTTATTCTACTGAGCCATCTCCCCAGCCCCTGTCACTTTTTGTTGTTGTTTTGAGACAAGGTTTCACTCTGTAGTTCATTCTGGCCTTAAACTCACTATGTAGCCCAGGTTGGGCTTGAACACCTGGAGATTCTCCTGGCTCAGCCTCCCAAGTGCTGGGATGAGAGGTGCATGCCACCACATTCACGGACACATAATACTGGACACTAAACAGATGTTGTTTCTGAATTGTTCTTGCCTTTTTACTAGTGATAGGTGACCTCAACCCCAAACAGACCGCACACAGAACTTGGTGGCCAGGAAGGGCAAGAAAGAGAGATGTGACGCGTTCCCAGGGTGCTGCTGCCTTTCATCCACCGCCTACACCAGTTTAGCACGGCTGTCAGTGGGACGGGATAAGACTCTGGAGAGGGCTGGGTCACAGGCGCTGTTCATCCATGAGTCAAGATAGAGTGTGCTGTACGAGGTGACCGTTAGGAGGCGGTGCCAGGGGCGTGTGGCCTCGCAGACCCGGACCTCCATGCCAACCAGCCGGACTCTGCCGCCTAGAATCCTGGGAACAGCTCCTCGCCCGGCGGCCCCCTTGGGGCTCTTTCTCCAGGGGCGGGGCCTCGTCTCCAGGGGCGGGGCCTCGTCTCCAGGGGCGGGGCCTGTTCCGAAGCGGGCGAGTCTCCGGGGCAGGGTTTTGTTTGCCGCCGCTCCGATTGGCCCGGCCGCGCGAGGCATTCTGGGCCCCCGCGCTCCTGTTGCCGCTGTCGTCTGCGTCTCGCCATGTCGGGCTCCCCAGTAAAGCGGCAGAGAATGGAGTCCGCACTGGATCAGCTCAAGCAGTTCACCACAGTGGTGGCTGACACGGGCGACTTCCACGGTGAGGGGCGGCGGGCGGCCCCACGGCGCTTGCGCCCTCTCCCTCGCGGCGCCCCCGGTTCCGGGTCGCGACCAGGAGGCGGTGCCTGAGGCGAGGCTCCGGGGCGCCGGGCCGGGTCGGCCGCGGGCTGGCGGTCGACAGTGGTTGGTGGACGCGGGTCGGGAGCCTCTCCCGCGGGCCGTGCTGGCCTTTGCCGAACGCTGCGTGAGGTCTGTCGCGCTCGCTCGGCCCGGCTGGAGATGTAGGAAGGCTCGTGAGGGCCGGTGCAGTCGCGCCCGAGTTCGCGCTGGCCTCTGAAGGCGCGGGCGCAGGGGCAGGGCGGACGCAGGGGCAGGGCGGGCGGGGGCGGGACGCCTGCCTCGGAGCCTGTTGCGCGAGCCTCCCAGCGTGGACAGTTGCTGGCCGCCTGTGGAAGGTGCCCGGCCTGGCCCCAGACCCTGCCCAGCTGCTGTGTGTGGGTGGGGCCGACCCAAGGCGGACCAAAAAGTCATCTGTTAGAATTCAGAATTTCCTGGGCTAGTGGAAAACTTTGGAAGACAAAAGCATAAAGGATTGCACTGTTGGTCCTTAGGTGTCTGATCTGAAGTGCAATAAGACTTTCAGAAAAAGCGCAAAATGGGGCTGGGGAGATAGCTCAGTGGAGTAAGGGCTTGCCTGGCAAGCCAGGGTCCTGAGTTCAATCCCCAGTACCCACCCCCCCAAAAAAGCGAAAAATGCCTGCAGATGGGAGTGTTCGGTTACAAAAGTGCTTCCTCTTTTGGCGACTTGAGAAACAGGCTTTAATTCCTCCTGATAACTTAGTAAACCCATTGTTTAGCTAGCAGAGCCATGGGGCGTGATTAGGCATATTTGGCTGCCTCGACACACAAGATGGAGTCAGTGATTGGCTTGGGATCTAGCAGTGTGCCGTCAGACCCTTCTGACAGGAGTTCCTGACCGAGAGCAGTAAGCTCCTTCCCCTGCTGAGGGGCTGTGTCTCAGAAAACCATTTTTGTGAGAAGGAAGTACTCTGCAGCCCAGTAGCCACAGCCTTGGTTGCATTGGTGGGCCTGCTGGCTTACCCTCAGCAGAACCAAACCTCTTGTTAAATTTTCTGGCAGTGTGGAATCTGTGGCTGGATTTTCTTAAGGCCATTTTCCAGATCAGGACCTGGAATGCTGTTCTATTGAGAGGGCACTAAACCAAGTGCTGGCTTTCTAAAATGAATGTTAATGACTTTATTAAAAATATATTTGTAGGGGCTGGGGAGATAGCTCGGCAGTCTAAGCGCCTACCCCGCAAGCACAAGGTCTCAAGTTCGATCCCTGGGGGAGGGGAGAGTATATTTGTAGCTGGACATGGTGCATGCCTGTAATTCCAGCACTCAAGAGGCTGAGGCAGGAGGATCACCATGAGTGATCCTCCACCCACCCACCAGCTAGGTATGTAGTAATTTCAAGGCAACCTGAACTACATAAGACCCTGTCTCAAAAAAAAAAAGAGCCAAAAATACATTTGTTCACCCTTGGGAACATAGAGGAAAAAAAAATCTGCTGATAGGATAAATGTGTAAGTGTGTTATTGTAAACAGTGCAGCCAGTTTGAGATTGGTATTTTGTGATAAAGTCCTGTTTTTTTGAGACAAGGTCTCTTGGCTTTGTATTTCAGGCTGCCCTTGAACTCACTTTATAGCCCAGGCTGGCCTTAAACTGGCAGTGATCCTCCTGCCTCAGCCTCTGGAGTGCTAGGATTACAGGTGCTGTGATTGATTTAGGTTCTTTATTCTGTGGGTTACAGGTCCCTGAAAATAGAATCAAAACTGTTTGCCTCTTGCCAGAACAATTTGTTTCCCTCCTTTTGCATGAAGTCTGAGAGTCCCTGGACTCTGATTTCTATCTGTGGAGCCCCAGGTAGTATACATGCTAAACACTAGCTCCATCCTTGAGCTGTATTCCTAGGCCTCAGGTTTTGCTTTTAGTTGTGGTGAAAGCAGTTTGATGTTATCCAGGCATCATTTTATATAAGGAAACACTGTTTTGAGCAAATCATCAGTGAGCATGCATTTTCTCCTCATTTTATTTGGAAATATAGTAGTTATAGACCCAAAGAAGTTGCAAAATGAGTTCATGAACCTTTTGCCCAGTTTCCCCAGTGATGGCCAAACCAAGAAGCTGGCACTTGCATGAACCATACCACAGGCAGACCTGGCAGTTTCCAGGTCTGCACTAGGTGAGTAGGTAGGGGTCACTGAAGCTGTTTCTAACTTAGATTTGTGTGACCACAACATCAGGACAGAGAGATCCCACTGTGCTCCCAGAGCTATCCCACCCTGCTCCTTGACAATCAGTATTCTGTTCTCTATCACCATAATCTTTTCATTAAAGAATCCTTTGAAAATACTAATCTGTTGAGTTGGGCTGGTGGTGCACTGCCTGTAATCCCAGCACTTTGGGAGGCTGAGGCAGGAAGATCCCAAGGAGCTCTGTATAGGCAATTTAGCCAGTTTGCAAGACTGTCTCAAAACAGAGTCAAGGCCTGTGGATGGAGCCCAGTGGAAAGGTGCTGGGTCCGATCTTTAGTACCACTTAAAATAAAGACTGATTTGTCAAATAATGACTTTGTCTGCTGACAAGATGAGCCCTTTGCTCCTCCCACATATACACCATTGGATTGTGTGTCTGTTAAACCCTATTGTTGGCTTGGATTCCTAAGAAAAGGACAGATGTGTTAAAAGAGACAATATTAAGAGCTGACCACATAGCTCAGCGGATTAAAGTGCTTGCTTAGGCAGATGCAGGGACCAGGGTTCAATCCCCAGCATGCTGTGCTGGCCCCACCCCCGTGGCATGTGAGCGATCGAAACTGGGTGTGGTGTTGCATGCCTTGTAATTCCAGAGTTTGGGAGCCTGAAAACAGGAGGACCACCATGAGTCCGATCTGTGTAGTGAGACTCTGTAGATCCTGTACTAAATACATAAAAATCTTTCTGGGAGGCTGAGGCCGGAAAATACTCAGTTCGAGTCCAATTTAGGTAATTTAGCCACCTAGTGAGACTATGTCTCAAATAAAATGCATACATAGATATAGCTCAGTGTGAAATCCCTGGGTTCAACTGTTAGTACTAGAGTGCAGTACAGTATTTGTTACTGCTAGCCTCCTGTATTGTCACTGGTTTGGAGCCAGTGCGCCATCTACTGCCCACTGAAACACAGGACACACGTTCTTCATGGGCTGCCCTCTGCTGTGTGGGGCTCTAGGCTTGCTGCCTCCTCCCTTGGAGTGCTTGGGGCAGTGTCCCTGGGTCTTGCTTGGGTCTGCCACAGGGGGCCTGCTGGGTTCAGGGTGGGATAGCCCTGGGATCTCTCTGTCCTGACGTTGTGGTCACACAAATCTAAGCTGCGGAGTCCACCCACCCACCCAGTGCAGGCTGGAAACTGCCAGGTCTGCCTGTGGCATGACTCATGCCAGTGCCAGCTTGGTTTGGCCATCACTGGGAAAACTGGGCAAAGGGCTCATGAACTCATTTTGCAACTACTTTGGGTCTGTAACTACTGTATTTCCAAATGAGGAGAGTGTGCTCAGTGGTGATTTGCTCAAAATAGTGTTTCCTTGTATAAAATGATGCTATAAAGTGAGTTCAAAGCCCCACTGACGTTCCTGCTTTCAAACATTATCTCCTTAGCTATTGATGAGTACAAGCCCCAGGACGCCACCACCAACCCATCCCTGATCCTGGCTGCAGCACAGATGCCCACCTACCAAGCATTGGTGGAGGAGGCTGTCACCTATGGGAAGAAGCTGGGCGGGTGAGTGTGGCTGGGGCCAGTAGGCTACACTGGTGTCCTTGGCCTCTTGTCCTCCCTACCTTGTCTTTTTCATTTGTACTACTGAAGGTTAAAGCCAGGGCTGCCATACTACTGAGCTATTCCTTAGCACATTTTTATTTTCAGTTTTTGAGATAAGATCTTGCTATGTCAAACCTAAGCTTTGAACTTGTGATCTTCCTGCTCAGCCTCCTTAGTGCTGAGATTTTAGGTTTACCTCTCCATGGTGTGAGTCCCAACCTGGTTGACTGAGATAGGGTCTTGCTAACTTAGTGGCCTCCAGTTTGTAATCCTCTTGCCACAGCCTCCTAAGTGACTGGGATTATAAGCCGCCATGCCTGGTTTTCATTGGTTTGTTAGTTGACATGGACTTGCTGTGTAGTTCAGGCTGGCCTGGACTCATGGTGATTCTTCTGCTTTAGCCTGAGTACTGGGATCACAGGTGTGTGCCACCATGTCCAGCCTCTCATTGGCTTACGGAGTGAACTCTGCATGAGTAGCCTGTACCCAGTGTGTCGGGGGCGCTGGCAGCACCCTGGACTCCCTCTGGTCAGATTTATGGCTCTTGCATGCTGCTCTACCTTCTGGCTGCTGTTTATTATTTTAGCAGATGAGTGTGGCCCTGCTTCTGCCACCACATGTGTGCCAGCACGTACTGCTCACAGAGTTGTCCCAGGGGCTGTCTGCACTGGTCCTGCTCTCATCCAGGTAGCCACAGACCTAGCTTTGGTTTCCATAAGTCTGTGTTTCCCTTCCGGTGCTCACAGGCACTGTGGCTCTTGGCAGGAGTAGGTTTTCCTGACTTTTGGCCAGGTCTCCTGGACCTGTGCACATGGGGTCTCCCTCTCCTTCTTAGTACCCCAGATTTTTTTTTTAAAGATTCCCCTTTAAACTTTTTTATTTATTTTTATTTGTGTGTGTGTGTGTGTGTGGCCAGCTCAGCCCACCAGGGGGCGGGGCTGGCTGGCGTGTGGTGCTGGGGGATTGAACCGCGGTCCCTGTGCTTGCTAAGCTTGTTCTAAGTAGGTGCTTTAGACCACTGAGCCATCTCACCAGCCCCCCTTAGCTCAGTTCTTTAAGTGGCTGCTTCAACAAAGCAGTCAGGCTCAGGTTGCTGTGGTTCGATCCACACAACTCAAGCGAGCCAAACCTGCCCTAAAGGCATTTGGAGGAAAAAAAAAAAAAAACCCTGCCTAGTTCCCCAGAACTGCTGTGGGAGCAGATGCCGGCTCTGCTCCATCTGCCGGACATTACACGCAGTGCGGGACACTGTGAAATGTCACCTTGCGTGGACTGGTGCACTCCTTTAGACTGTCCCCTGTGCATCAGCAGCGGCCTTACACCCAGGGTTTGCCCAGGCAGCCCAAGAGAAGTGCAGAGGAGACTTTGCAGGTCAGGTTTCATTGAGGTACAATTCACATGGTAAATAATGGTTTTGTCCATTTTTCCCACTGGTACTAGGATTGAATCCAAGGCTTTTGCGTTGAGCTACATTCCCAGGCCTATACACAAATTCTTTTAATGTTGAGATAGGGTCTCAGTAAATTGCCCAGGCTAAGTCCAAACTGTGGACCTTCCTGCTTCTGTCTCCCATAGTGCTGGGATTACTTATAAGCATGTGCTACCATGCCCAGCAAAACAATGTTTTTAGAATTAAATATTTTTACATTTAAAAAGGAAAAAAAAAGGGGAGGGGGATTTGTCAAGGAATTCTACTGTTTGGTCAGCTCTTGTGTAATCTCACAAACTCCTAATCTTGTTTTTTCCTTTGAATTTCAGGTCACAAGAGGACCAGATTAAAAATGCTATTGATAAACTTTTCGTGTTGTTTGGAGCAGAAATACTGAAGAAGATTCCAGGCCGTGTATCCACGGAAGTAGATGCAAGGTAGGAATGGCGGGGGTGGGGTGGGGTAGGGTGTGTGTGTGTGCTGCTGGGCCACTCTCTTCCGTTTCTGTCCCTGGGGACTAGGACAGTTCAAGAGGACAAGGTTTGCTCCATAGGTCCTGTGGACACTTTTGTGGCAGGGAGCTCCCTGCTGAGGGTTCTACACCAAGATACCAGAACTGCACTTCATGTTCCACTCAGCCCAGGGCTCCAGGCACCTGCTTCTGGCTGGTGACACAGGATGTGTGGTCTGCTTGCTTCATCAGACTCTCCTTTGATAAGGACGCCATGGTGGTCCGCGCCAGGCGCCTCATCGAACTGTACAAGGAGGCTGGAATTGGCAAGGACAGAATACTCATAAAGCTGTCGTCCACCTGGGAGGGTATCCAGGCTGGAAGGTAAGCAGCTCTGCCTGTGGGAGCTGTTGGGCTGGGGCTGGGTACTGAGCCAGGCCTGTATTCACCTGGGCCCACCCAGCTGTGTGCCTTCGCCTGGCCCGGAAGCCTCCTGTCTTGGATTGCCTGGTGTACAGAAAGCAAACCACAGTTGGCCGGGCGTGGTGGCGCACACCTGTACTCCCAGTGCCAGGGAGGCAGATACAAGAGGGTCACTAGGAGTCCACACTGCATGAGACCCTTTACCAAATCAGTCAAACAAACAAGGTAGGAGAGGCAGGACAGCCAAGTATCTGGTGCTTGCCCATGAGTCTACAGTTGGCAACAGGCCTCTGAGGAGTTCTGTATGTGCCCTGTGCGGATGTGCGTGTGAGTTTTTTTGCATGTGTTTTATGGGAGGGTCTACAGGGTGTTCAGGGTCTCACTACTAGATCAGACACTAGTGATCCGCCTGTTTACAGCCTCCTAAGAGCTGGAATTACAGGCGTGCGCCACCACGCCTAGTCTCAATTGCTGTCTCAGTGTGCCCCTGGGGTGGGGCCAGCAGACAAGCCGTGGATCAAACCCCAGCCCCTGCGCTTAATCCACTGAGCTATTTGGCTGGCCCATGTTTGAGTTTCTACTGTGTAAATTGTGTGAATGCAGTTGCTGATTGTGTGGTTGGAGGAGGGCTACAGGCTGACAGCCACCTTTGGATTCCCAGTGTGGCCACCTGGTGGAGCACCTCTGAAGCAGGCCCCTGGAGAACGAGCTTGTCCCAGGCTGCACCTGAGGACATCCTCTTTGGACAGGATGTGCGCTGGGCTGTGGTCCCCACCGTGGTCAGAAATGGCATGGTGACCCCAGGCTGGGAGCCCTGCTCTGCTTTGTGTGGTGATGGACTGGGGGTGCCTGGACAGGCACAGGCACACAGACCCTCGGCGGCACCTGCCTGCCCGCAGCCTGTGGTGGCGTGGGTGATGGAGGAAGCATCCTAGCCCTGCACAGTACTCCAGGCTCTCCCTATCACAGCAGGCCTGTGCCCAGCAGGTCACACCGGCTCCATGCGGCACCCTGGAGCGTAGTGCACTCGCCCCCCTCTGTCCACAGGGAGCTGGAGCAGCAGCACGGTATCCACTGCAACATGACACTGCTCTTCTCCTTCGCCCAGGCGGTGGCCTGTGCTGAAGCAGGTGTGACACTCATCTCCCCCTTCGTGGGGCGCATCCTGGACTGGCATGTGGCAAACACAGACAAGAAAGCCTATGAGCCTCTAGAGGACCCTGGTAAGCAGCCCTCTTAAGTTCACAAGTGAGAGTTGCGGGGGGTGGCTAGGGCCCCCTGGGATACTGCATGGTCTCTTCCAGGAGTCAAGAGTGTCACCAAAATCTACAACTACTACAAGAAATTTGGTTATAAGACCATTGTCATGGGTGCTTCCTTCCGCAACACGGGTGAGATCAAGGCTTTGGCAGGCTGCGACTTTCTCACCATCTCGCCCAAGCTCCTGGGTGAGCTGCTCAAGGACAGCAGCAAGCTGGTGCCCATGCTCTCGGCCAAGGCAGGTGAGACCTGGGCCCAGCTGTTGCCACTGCTCTGCCCCGTGGCTGTGGGCCCCCTGAACGTGGGTGCAGCTCAGGATGTGGTTGAGCTTGTGGGAGGGCCTGGCCTTCCTGTGCATTCACTCAGGGCCCTGGCGAAGTCCCACTCCCTCTGGGGACCAAGGGTTGATCGGACCAGGGTAGGCATGGTGTGTCCCCACAGCCCAGGCAAGTGACCTGGAGAAGATACACCTGGATGAGAAGTCCTTCCGCTGGCTGCACAATGAGGACCAGATGGCTGTGGAGAAGCTGTCTGAGGGAATCCGGAAGTTTGCTGCCGACGCTGTGAAGCTGGAGCGGATGCTGACTGTGAGTTCCATGCGGTGGCCTTAGCGCACACGGTCTCCAAGTCACGGGGCAGAGGGGGCTTGCTGGGTGCCCTGGGCCTGCTCCTTGAGGGCACAGCTCACTCTGCTCCTTTCCAGGAGAAAATGTTCAGTGCAGAGAACGGGAAGTAGCATGCATCAGAGCGCAAGGACCCCAGGCCTGTGCTGCCTGTGACTGGAGTCCAGCTGTGCAAGACTGGGATCGCAGTCGTCAGCATTCAGGACGGGGGTGGATCACAGGCTTCTGGTTTTATGTAAAACTGCCTAACGCATTAAAGCAGTTGCTTTTCCTATGTGCTTCATTTTGCCGTCTCAGCACCCTTGCCTCCCAGTTTCCACTATTGGCTGTGACATGGGCTGGGAAGTGGGAGTTGGGGCCAAGAGCCCTGGAGCCAGGTGGACTTTAGAGTTCCTGGCTGGGTGGAGCCCAGAGCTTGGTAAACTATAAAGTGCTCATCACCTAGCAACCAGGTCCCGGCTTTGAAGGTGGGACTCTGACTGCCCTGGGGGTGACAGCCATGCATCAGGGCTGTCAGGCCCCTGAGGTTGCTAGTGGGGCTCTCCAGCTTCCTGGCTGCTGTCCCTAGCCAAGGCTTGACAGGTAGGTTTCCGCAGGAAGCACTAGCACCACTTGGAATGGCACAGCAGACTGCAGCCAGCTTTGAAACCTTACAGGGACACCTGGAACCTGGTGACGCTTAAGGGCCAGGTCAGGATATTAGATTTAGGCCAGGCTGCGAGGAGAGTGGCGCATGGGGGTCTGAGATCAAGGAGGGCACAGGCCCAGCAGGCTGTGGCTAGTGAGGGCCTCGAGCTGGCACTTGATGGGGTCAGGCACAGGGGAAGAGCCCTGTCCAAATCACACCACAACCTGTTCTGTGCCCAGGACCCTGGCTGTCTGCAAAAACATACACTGCCCACAGTACCACAGGAGGCAGCTTAGGGCAAAAGAGCAGGCAAGGACTAAGACCTAGGGGGGCGTCAGCACCACACAGGGCCACCAATAGGACCATGGGCTCTCTGGCAGCCCAGCAGTGGGCCAGGTCATGCACTTGTATGTGCACAGAGTTCACAAGTGTGAGTCTCCCACTGTATTGCCAGCTTCTTGTTGCTATCACCCCACAGCCAGCAGTGACCTCTCTGGTTGGTTTCCTGGATATTTTATATAAGGCGCAGAAAGTGCTTGGTGACTGCCTCCTGTCACAGCACCACATTCCAGCCTTGGGAATTATGCATCAACTTCCTTCCTGTTTGACACTAAAAATACTAAGGGTACCTCGATGCCAATCATAGGGAAGGCAATGTGCCCCTTGTAATTCTGCCACGTGGATGTGCGGACCACTTCCATAGTGATGTAGGCTCTGACTGTAAACACAACCTAGACCATGGAGGTACCCACTTGGCCACTGCCATGTTCCTGGAGGTTGTCCCTTTCCCTTCCTGCTGACTCCCAGCCTCTGGAGAACCAGCACTGTATCTGGAAGGTGGGGCTCAAGCAGCCTGAACAAGTGCTCAGCAGATGTCACTGTTTGAATTGCGGGCCATAGTCTCAGTGTGACCCTCAGAACTCCAGCAGGTTGGTGACCCTGGCGCCAGAGGGTCTTTGATCAGGCCAGAGTGGGGCCCCTATGAGTGGGGTTAGGACCTTTAAGGAGCAGCCCCAACAAGCTCCCAACCCTGCCACCATGAAGAGCAGCCACTAGCCAGCAAGCCCTCACCAAACAGACCTGCTGCCCCAGCCCGACAGCCTTCAGAACCACAGGAAATGCTCTTCTCTGCTTTATGAGACGTGCAGTCTGTCACCACTGCCTGGACGAATACAGGACATGACTCGGGTTTCTCAAATTTTGTCATGATGTGCATGTGACATGAGTGTACTGGGTGGCACAGGCCTACAACTGTCTGTCCTGCTGGGAGCAGCCAAGGACACTGCCAGGTAGAGGGAGCAGTGGGGGGTGGGGGGGTTGCCTTGCTGCTGCCTCCACAGGGCCCTGAATTTCCTGATCCTCTAAAGTGTGGGCCTCCCACTCAGTCTGTCATGAGGAGCCAACCCTGTGCCTGGGGATAGCTGTGGCAGAACCAGTCAAGCTGAGTATGGACTCAAGAGGAAAGGGGACTCCAATGGGGGGCTGAGCTTCTGGGGAGAATGACTCAGCCAACAGCTGCTCAGGGAAGAGCAAGTGAGCTGTGTCCAGAGAACAGCCACTCTGTGGCGTTGCCCCTACCAAGGCTAGGAAGCCAGGACCCAGCCTCCTGATCTCCTGATACCAGGAGCCAAGCCAGCCTGTTGCTTCTACAAGGGGAGCCAAGCTCTGGGTATTGCAGGACCTGCTCTTCTAAGAACCTCATGGGGCGATTCTCTTGATGGTGCAGGGCTGCAGTGACGTCACTGTATCCACTAAGGGCCCCTGCCCCATCCTGGCCTCAGCAAGGACCTCTCCTCCCACAGCAGGAGTGTGGGGCTGCAGCTGGATCAAACCCTGTTCACCCGGGGAAGGGGAGATGTCCTGAGCCTCCCACGGGGCAAGGACTAAGGAGTGAGGGCATCAATTTTGGACACCCAGTTGCTTTTGCTCCACGAATGAATGCAAGAATTCTCAGGACTCACTGGCCACCAGCACTCAGGGTCATCGCTAAGACACCACAGGAGACAGCTGGGAGCCAAGGGGCCAGGAAGGCATGTGCTCTCCAGAAAGCAGACACAACCCTTGGGCTGATTCCCACACAAGTCCAGGACACGGCCCCACCGAGGGCCCTTTGTCAGGTGGGGAACAATAGAATCCTTGGAGCCAGTGAGTCTAGCTGCCTCTGAGGACACTGGGCCACATCATAAGGGGCAGTGTCCACTGGTGACTTATTTCCTGCAGGATGGACACATGGTCAAGGCTCAGCAGTGCACAGAGGAGTGGTCACAGGGCAGCTCCAGCCCGGGTCTCCCAAGCCTCACCGGCTGCCACAGAGGAACAGCAAGTTCTGTACAGCAGCGACAGTGGAGTTGGCATTCTGCCCGGTGACCAGGTGGCGGTCCAGCACAACATGCACGGCATCAGGCTCGCTGGCTGGAGGGTGGAGACCACGGGCCTCAGCACTGTTGTCCCCAGACCCACTTCCGCCCACTGAGCAACCAGACTGGGCATTTAGGGGTGTGCCAGGCTTACCACTGAAGCCAGCACCCGAGTCCTTCACGAAGTCCTCCACGACCAGCGGCAGCCGGGCGAAGCCAGGGGCCCTGACAAGCTCATACACGGAGGGCTGTGGAGGTGGGGGCCTGAGCCCGGCGATCCCTCCCAGCAGCTCTGCCCCTGCAGGGCCCTCCCCTGTCCCCAAGACCAGCCCTGAGGGACAGATGGGGCCATCAAAGCAGGAGCCTCACTCTCACAGTGGAGATGAGGGTGGGTCAGGATAGAGGGTGACCCTGGGGCAGGCAGGGACAAGGCAAAGCCAGCTGTCCTCCCCACGGGCACCCTGATGGTGGAAGACCTGCCTTCCTGGGTGACAGATGGGCTGGTGGCCCAGGCTGAGCCCCTCAGTGGGTAATGACTTTGCTCATGTGTGCCTGGCAGGCTCGCAGTGCCGTGAGAATCCGACTGCAGATGCTGGCCCACCGAGAGACACTCACCCCTGTCAGGCTATATCCGTGGAACACCCAGGATCTGCCCTCGCTTGTGGCACAGCACAGAGCAGCGACACCGTGGCCAATGGCGCAGATGGGCTCTGAAAGCATTGACGAGGCCCAAGTGAGGCCTGAGTCGCCAGCCCAGCCGCTCACACCCACCTCCCCAGATGGACTACAGCGCCAGGGGTTTGCTTAGGGCCCAGGTCACTCCAGGTTTGGGGCTGATATGCACTGAGGGAGACACCTAGTGCTGCCTCCATCTGCAGATCATCCTGGTGCAGAGAGGAGGCCCTGTGCCAGTGAGTGGGACAAGCACACCAGGTAGTACGCCACGCTTGCAGCAGGGTCGCTGGCATTTTTCCAAGGCTGCCTGGCATGCATGAGTTCTCACAGATGAGGGTGCTAGCTGTCCAGGCCCGGAGAGACCATTCTCCCCAACAAAGGGTGCTGTCTGGGTGTCCTCCTCCTCACAACAGAGGCCTGCCAGCAACCAACTCACTCACATAGGGCCCCAGGAGGGAACAGCCACTAGTGTCCTCAAGAGCCAGGGATAGAGGAGCACACTGCATATCTGGGGGTTGCATGCTTGTGTAAGTGGCACACACACTTGTCCACTAGCCAGGCAAGATCATGCAACTCTCTACACAGGTCCAACTGGCTAGGGAAATGACCGGGCATGCCCAGCTCTGAACCTGAACCTGCCACCCAATCCCACTCCACACTGCCAGCCTATCCCTTAGTTCTTGTGACCTACTGCTCTCAGACCGGAAGTGCTGCAGGATGCGGGCCAGGGACCCACTGTTGGCCAGGTCAGCCAGGGCACCAGGACAGCTGGGGATCAGAAGAGCATGGTAGCGGGCACCTGAGGGCAGACCACAGGCCAGGAGGACACTAGTTAGTCCCAAGGGCACAGCTAGGGTAACCCCCCCAACAAGTCAGATGTCCCCAACCCCACATAGATCCCACAGACAGCTGACCCACTCCTCCCTTAGAGGAGCTCAAGAACTCCAAGGCCCAGAGTATGAACCAAGGCTGCCTCGGACAGTCACAGTTTCATGGCAAGCCCCAGGGTGGCTGCAGGGGAACAATGGGGACATGCTCTGAGATCCCAAGCCCGTCTACAGCCCTGATGCTTCATGGTCTCAGCTGTCTCACTGAGAAAGGAACATGCTGCCCAGCAGGAATGTGTTCTGGCTCACCATCAATAGACTCCAGCTTGGCAGGGCTGGCATAGGCCTTGAGGCGGAAGTCTTGAACCCAGCGTGCACTGCTCTCAGACACGTCCACAAAGTCCATGGCCTTTCCCTGTAGGGGAGAGCCCAAAGGCCAAGAGTAAGCACTGGGGTCACTGATGGGGTCCCAATTTAGGAAAATGGCAAGCACTCTCCCACCCACCTTGGAGGTGACTTTAAAAGGTGTAAAATGGGCTAGGGATTTGCCTCAGCAGCATGGGACTAGCCTAGCATGTGCAAGGCTCTGCATCCAACCCACGCTTCTGAAATAAACAGGTCAAGCACACACTATGTCCTCAGGGTGAGTGTCTACCCCCGAAGGTCCCGAATCCCTTCCATGGGAGATGTCTGTTACTCCCACCAGACTGACTCTCACTCCCACTTGAAGCTGTGCAAAAGCACAGACCACACTGAAAAGCCCTCCCTCACACCAGTCCAGCCAGAGCCCAGGGATGGGGACCAATACCTCAGGATGTTGTCAGGTCTAGGTGCAGAACCCTTACCCCAAGCCAGCTCTATTAGGGCCATAGCAGGCTTCCTGCTCCTCCCAGAGAGGGACAGCACCCTCCTGGCCTCAACTCCGAAGAAGTGGGGACCCCAAGTATCCATTGAGGGCAGGGCTACACTTACTCCAGGGGTGGCCACCTGCAGGTTGAAGGCAGCACTGGCCAATGTGAAGCAGTGGAGGAAGGACTGGGCTGACACACCTGCAGAAGAGGGGCAGGTGTGACAGGGCTGCCACCCTTGGGGGCCTCCTTGGTTCAAGATCCACCCTTAGCTGCAGGCCATCCCTTGCTCTCTGCCCTGCTGTGGGCACCAGCTGCCACAGGTCTCCAAAGGCAAACCCAAGTGCTGGGATCCCTTACAGATAGGCATCCACTCACAGCACCCCAGGGTCCAAGGTGCCCACAGCAGGGCAGAGAGCAAGGCCTGTGCCCACAGAAATGGGGCTGTGACCGGCAGCAGCTAGAAAGCACGGGTGTCCTGAGCCCTTCCACCACCAAGGGACCTTTCAAAAGAAATGGGGCCTGCCCAGGCAGGAACACACAGGTGTTACGCTCTACAGCACGTCAGATGTCTACCCTGGTTTAACTCTGAACCCCAATCCCTGAACTTCATTTTCACTGTGAGGCATGTTCATTGCCAACCATTTACACTGAGAATAAACAGTCCCCAGACTCTGTCCACACCCTGACCCCAAACCCTCACTCCCTACATCTGCCACCACCATCCACCCAGAGCCACGTAGCCACTCCATGTCCTCAACAAGCCTTCCTTGGCCTTACATTAGCCTCTGAAGACAATCAAGACCCACAACTGCGGTGCTGTACGTCCTCGGGCGCCTCCCACTTCTCTTCGGAGATGGCATGGGAGGCAACAGCCGGGCAGGCCACGACCCCACGATGCCATCCCTG